CAAATCGCCGCAAAAGGGGCGGTTTCCGTTTTACAGTCTCTCTCCTTTATCCTCACGCTCAACCGTCCACCGTCATTCCCCACTTACCACGCTCTCCTCCCCGTCTCTGTCGTCTCCGCCCCTCGCCAATTTCGCCGCTACCCCTTAACCGGGTACGGCGGCGTGCACTCCCCCTACCCACATTCTAGTTGCCGACAACCGCGGAGGCCGCATCGAGGAAGTCAACCGCGCAATCGGCGGCTAGCTGCGCCAGTGGCGGAGAGCACCCCGACGGCGGCGCTCAGCTGCGAGCGAGGCGGCCACCCCCCAGGCGGCCCTCACTGGTACGTACGGCGGCGACTATCAGACGACCGCGGCGGCCGCATCGAGGAAGTCCACCGCTCCATCGGCGGCTGCTATTCGCGGGCGAGGCGGAAAGCATCCAGACGTCGCGGCTAGCCGCGACCGAGTCCGCCACCACCCCGGAGAACCTCATTGGTACGCGCAACTGAGGAATCAACAAACGCACACCAGAGATACACTCATTCTAGCAAAGGTTAGTAGAAGCACCTACACTACCTGTCATGCTCATCCATTTCCCTTATCCAATCCAATACCCATTGTTAGACTACATTGTTCAAGATGAAGCGGAAGGGAAAAATGCCAGAGAACGTTCGGAGCGTCAAGTTCATGGGTTCGCAATCAGAATGCGAGATTGTGCTCGATCAATCCCAGCCGAGCGAGGGCCCAACTACCCGCTCCAAGCGAGCTCGTGCAGACGGAGGAAGTCAACAAGGCGCCGCCAAAAAACGTGGCCACAAGAACCAACAGGATAGAGCCGTGAAGCACGTTGCGCTTGTTGAGGTCAGCCACACTCTATTCTTTGCCACAAACCCTAACCCTTTATTCCATATGTTTGGTTGCTGTCCATTTATTTCTGCATGTGTGGTTGTCGTCTTGTATGATTGGGATTGATGTAAGGACCATGGTACTTCCAAATCTTTCTATTTTTGTCCTTTTCATAAATCTGACAAGAGCTTTGTGTTCTGTGACCCACCATATTTTTTCCCCCACTTGATCTGAATCATGGTAATGCTTTTCATACAATTAAGAGTTAGGATTAAAGGTAAGAGGGATAATGCATGCTTACGATTTAGAGCTGTCACTTGGTTTGTGGGAATTCATTTACCCAACCCACTAGCCAAATAGGGCAATAGTGTAAGAACATACTCAGTGTTAGTAAATGCCTCCCTTTCACCAGAAATGTATCATTTATTACAGTAATTGCTTACCAGACGTGAGATCTGAATACTAAAACATCTAGATTTTGAAATCAAATCAGGGTACTCACACATGTTCCTAACAATCTAGTAGTGAGACGCAAAACTATAGCAAAAAATGATTACAGATGATCCCATTGTTGATGATATAGAGGCTCTTCCATTCGCTTAGTTATCATGTGAAGTAAAATTCATCATTATAACCACTTTAATTATTCAATTCTATGTCCTAAATGCTAAAAACCATATTTGCATTGTAGCCGCCAGCGACAAAGCATTCTGTCTTTACACGCTGCAGCCCGAAGTTTGTAAATGATGCATGTTGTGCGTTGTCGCCGATACACCGACAAGCTTTCGCAGCGCTTGGCCTGGGTGATCTTGCAAAGATGACTCTCAACGGCTTGGAGCAACCTGACCTCACCTGCTGGCTAATGGACCGAACAGACCCAAAATCGATGACCATTGACATATCTGAGAATAAGAAGATGGTCATAACTCCATGGAAGGTTAAAACTGTATTGGGGGTCCCATTGGGAGGGGAACCATTGCAATTACCAGACCAAGATATAATGTCAGATGCACTGGCAGACTTGGCTATTGAGCTTGATCTCCCCCCCAAATCCGACATAACGGCCTCTAGGTTGATTGAAGAGATCAAAAATAGGCCCAAAGACCCATCTATGGTTAGGTACTTTATAATGGTCATTGTGAACAAGATGCTGCTGCCATCCACTGGTCTGTATATCAGGCCTAAGGACGCATGGATTGGATCTGACACTCAAAAGGTAGCAAGGATCAACTGGTCGAAGGCTATTTTTGATGCCCTCCACGACAGCCTTGTACTATGGCACAAGAACAAAACTGGCCCAAGGCAGCAGACATATATACGCTGCTGTGTTGCATTCCTTGTGGTAAGCATCCCTTATTTACCCAACCATTCTATTTCCAATGCAGCTTTCATTTTATAATGTTATTGTCACCCTTCTCTATGCAGCTGTTGTACATCGATAACCTCAAGGTGCCAAAGGATTCATTGACAGTTGATCGCTGCCAAACTCCTCGCATACAGCTCTACACCAAGCAGCTTGTGGAGGATATTTCGCAGGAGGATCGTGTCACTGATTCATCCGGAAACTATGTGTTTGGCAACCTCCCTGTGAGCCCTAACCTCCCTGCGAGCCCTATGTTAATATTGCATTATATTTATCTGTGTAGCAATATAGGGAAGAGCCTGTCAACTATCTGAACTGAAATGCAATGATTTTTTATTGCAGATGAGTGGTATTCTTGGTTCATGCTACAGCCACCCTGACTATGACAAGGAAAAAGAACCACATGGGGACAACTCTAGCACCCCCTTTGCTGATGAGTTGGTATCTGCGGTAGAAATTTCTTTCCCCAGCATGTTTGACACCGTAGGCCCCCATTTAAGTGGTCTCCAAGATGAGCACAAGCAGCGCGTACTGGATGCTCTTGGTGAATATGATCGCCAGTCGAAGTAAAGTGCAGATGCTATTGCCAAACAAATCAGGCTTGTTCAGACGTGCCATGCGCGTGTCAGTGACCATATTGTCAGCATCATCAGGGGTGAAAGCCGCAATCAGCCACCATTGGGTCCACAACCACAACCAGCCTCACATTCACAACCAGACAGCCAACATGGCCCAGTTGCATCCCCAACCAGCGAGGAAGCACAAGACCACCACATTCACAACACCCCGGACATTTCGCCTACCAACTCCCCAGCACCACAGCCCTGTAGGATCATAACACTGGATGTTGCGTTCAATACGACACCACAGATCACATCCACTGAACCACACCCTCATTTACCAGGGGAGCTTTTTCCGACCATGGACAAGACTACCATTGCTGATGAAAATCAAGCCCTCACTCCTCAGCCAGATGCGGATTTTCAAGGTGGCTGCGATGTTGGTATTCCACTGCAAGGTACTACATTTATAACCCCTTCCTTACACACACAACGAGATGTGCACAAACTCACTGTTTTTATTTTTTGGTCCTACTCTTACCTGTTATAGTTTTATTTGTGCCAACTTTGGCCAGCATCCTCAATCATTCGCAAGGTGTAATGCCTTCGCCCGCTTTTATGCAATGTTCTCCTAGTTATTCATTTGGTGGCCCGTCAATTCTTATTCCTTGGACAACATTTACCTTCAGCACAAACCATTACTGCCACACACTTTAATATTTATGTAACAACAATATCTATTGCCAATAGGAAGACATGTTCTAATAACAATGATTACAACTGACATCTACATTTTTTTGTTGCACCAGGAATTATTGATTTTACCATGACTTCCGAGGGCACATGCACAACCCAGTCCCATAGTGCAGATGGTTTTGAAGGGCACCACGATCTACCAGATGTGGACGATGAACATGGCATTGAGACTGACACCTCCATGCAAGGTTGCCAGCGTTTCCAGTTTTTCTTTCCCACTGCATATTTTTCGCAACCTTGTGCCACTATTCTCATTTTTTTTGCAAAGTACAGTCACAATCATATGCAGCGCTGCTATATTTCTGCTTCCTATGCATATCTCCCATCTAATTAGCGTTTATCTTTACTAATTGATACACCTGTGATGTGCAATGCAATTACTACCATGGATTTTTTTTGCCAAACTAAAAAACTTACTGATAGTAATACCTTTACTACCAGCACAATACACACACTGATCGTGTATTGCCCCACCTGCAGCACCATCCCATCCAAACCTAGCAACCCATTTACTACAAGTTCATTACATTTATCTTGTATATCAGTTTCCCGTATATATATGTACATTATTCAAAGTCCTAACCAATAATTTCACCAATGTGCTTAGCTCTGTTTACTTAGTAAAATTTCCTTCATATGTATTAGTGACACATTTTCCCCTACTTTATCGTTGTAACCATGTGCAACAACGTTTGCCAATAGGTTTACTTACTTGTGCCATACCACAGGTAATACTGCAGTTAACGTGACCACCGAGGGCACAAACACAGCCAAATCGCCCTCTGCACATCAAAATGATGGTCACCACCATCATCCAGATGCAGATGTTGAAAACAACAGCAATTTTGACATCCCCACGCCAGGTTTTCTGCTAATCTAGTACATTTGCTTTACAGTATGGTTTTCATAGCGGCTTTTATCTCACTAGATTTATTTCTTACTTCCTAATTTTTTTGATCATGTGACATTGTCCTCATCTTTTGCAAAATTAAACTTCCTATATTCAGTGATGTTATAGTTCTGCTTTGTATTCAAAGTAATTCAATTTCTACCACCTGTTCTATTTGCCATACTACATTCTGCCACATAGTAAGACACTTATTACCATCACAATACACACACCGGAGCCCTACCTTGATGCAATAAAATGCTTTGCTAGTAACACAGTAACTGTCACCTCATTATCAATTTTTTCTTTTATCATTCACTTCCAGAATTTTGCATTACTGATATTCTTAAGTAGTAATCTTACTATGGATTCTTTTTTCCAATCTGCTTACCAATGTACTTAACTATGTTCCATTATTTTCTAATACACTCTTATGCATCAGTAATAGTCTTACCCCTATCACACTGCACCCAAGTGCAGCAAACTTTAGTAATAGGTTTACTGGTCTGCATTCACAATGTGGTTGCCCCTCTAAATATACAATATGTAACAGTGCTGATTACTGTTGGTCCGGGAGCCATTGTTCAATTACTCATGGTCTTTACTATATTGATGGCCTAGCTCCATCGCCAACTTCAACCTCATGCTCACTCACACCATCATCTGCATCTAACCCGTGCACATCTGCCGGAATCTCTTCCAGCTGATTTCTCAGCCCTTTCATCACTGATGTCGCCCTTTCGAAAGCAACTGACGACCTCCTCCCCCACTTTACTAGTTGCTGTGCATCCAATGACAACACCTTTGTCCTGTTTGATAATTTAACACCATCTAGCCCCGCTATTGGACGATCACGCCGGTCAAAATTGACATCACTCTTTGCTTCCCTTGAGTAACGACGCAGTACATATGTATGAGGGATCTTCTCAACTTGAACATGCACGAACGCTCTCAGTAAATGGGGACAGAACAAACCTTCAAAATTACGATTGAATCAGCAAATTTTACAAAAAAATGCACAACTCAACTAAAATACTAATATTCTGCCCTAACCTGTGTGCTCCCATTGCATGCACTCACAGATGAACTGCCCATTAACTACGTCCGCCGTTACCTTGAATTGACGTTGGCACCAGTCATGCTTCTCTGAACGCTTGCTGTGAGAAATAATCCATTGTGTCTGGTCCACTCCATATTGCTCAATCCTAAAATGAACACTTTCATCTAGCGTATTCTCGAACACTTTGAACACTGCACGGGTGTACACTCTAGAAAGCTGCTCTGCAAAAGGCCATGCTGTCTTCACATTTGGTACATCCTGAAAGACCATGCAAACAAAATTACATCCGTTGGTCCAATACAAATAGCAAACATTTTTTTATCAACATTACATTACCTGACAAGCTCGCGTCTCTGCAGCCTCCTTCTCCTTCCTTGAAAGTACCACCTCAAGTATCCTCCGAGCAAACCTGTGCAGTGCTGTTTGGTGGTCTACAAAACTACTCTTCACTAACCTGTTAAAGCTCTCGCTCCGCTGTGTTGACGTCATATGGCCACAGTAATCTTCCTTGAAAAAGGCAGGGACCCAACGATGCCTTATATCATACAAATCCCGCAACTCTGTACTATCATGCAGCCCAAACTTGTCTATGAACTCTTTCCAGGCATACTCAAATTCAATCGGCGTATATGTCTAGTTAATGCACACCATCATCTCTGTCTCAATGTCCTTGTGTCTCATGAAAATAGTATTTAGATGGTCCGAGTGGCCGTCTATAATGTGCCACCTGCACAACCGATGGATAGTTTCTGGGAAAGCACGACCAACTGCAATAGCCATAGCAGTGTCTTGGTCTGCAATTTTTCATAAGCAGGCCACCTATCTGTTAGTCACCTGTTCAATAATATTTTCATAAGAGAATACAAACAGTAAAAATTATCTTAGATTACACCTGTAAGAATGCAACGTGGTGTAGGGCAGTCTCCCATGCAATTCTTGAACGTCTCAAATAGCCACTCAAATGATTCAGCCCTTTCATCTCGAAGCAAGGCACATCCAAACAATGTTGATTGTAGGTGATGGTTAGCGCCTACAAACATGGCCAGAGGCATCCCATAAATGTTAGTCTTGTAGGTGGTGTCAAAAGTAATGGCGTCGCCGAAATCAGCATATTCTGCTTGCATACTAGCGTGGCTCCAAAAGACATTCTTTACCACCCCTTCCTCATCTGTTCTTATGTCCTAGTAAAACTTAGGATTATCCTTCTTGCACTCGTTAAAAAATCTCAGCAGCTTGCTTATGTCGTCCGCATTCCCCTCACAAACATTAGCCGCTTTCCTGCAAAAACACTAGTTTAATTAACACTGCAAAGGTATTTTGGCGATAAAGTCAAGAGCGAAAATTTAAATGTACCATTCAATTTTTACTACCTGTTTTCCAGATCTCGGGTTGTGAAAGGGATGCTTTCACGGTCTCCATGCATATCGGACAGCACACCCATTATACTACTCTGTGGTTCGCGACATTGCTGCATAGTGTCTACAAACTCTATCAATGTGTCACCCCGTTGCTTGTGCGATCTCATGTGCTTCACGGCTGAGGGCGATGGCGTCAACGGGTGGTTGTGTTGTACAACAACATCATCAAAAACCACTGATACCACCTCTCCCTCTATCACAACATTCCTCACCCTCACATATGCACGGCAACCAATCCTAGCTGATCCACGACGGCGTTCACGCTTAGTCTCATCCCCCCGGTATTTGTTCTTGCCCTCTTTGCTGCAACAAATTTCCCTGTATGCTGCCCTGCTTCGACTCTTCCTCACGTTAAAACCAGCGTGCTCTACGTATTTGTTATAGAACGCATAGGCCATCTCGTACGATTTGAATTCCATGCCAAACTTGGGAACCATTTCATCTGGGACATGAGCTCCCTAATTAATTATTTACATTTCACATCATCATATTGTAATCTTTACATGAGTAAAAACCAATGCAATGTACACAGTTCACACTATAAATTAATTGACACTATAGATCCAAAACTATGAACATATCACCAATTTTGAGACTGTCACAAGAATGAGCTCCATAATAAATTATTTACATTTCACATCATCATAATGTAATCTTTACATGAGTAAAAACCAATGCAATGTACACAGTCCAGACTATAAATAAATTGACACTATAGATCCAAAACTATGAACATATCACCAATTTTGAGACTGTCATGAGAAAGACAGCTTACATGAATATGCATGACATTCCTCGTCGGCATCCTCATATGAGCATCATCTACACATGGAGGGCGATCCGTTCTGGTTGACTCGCTCCCTGTATCTCCTCCTCCATCTCCACCACCTAATTGCTGCAAACCCCCTCGTTGAACATCATCATGTAGACGAACATCGTTGCCTTGCATCAAATGCGAGCGATCTGCGACAAGGGCTGGGACGTGTGATCGCACATCAGATGGCCCGGGATCCTCACCCCCACTCGCCATTGGCTTGACCAAGAACCACGGGCGCCGAGTTCTTCTTGTTGCGATCGGTTTCCGAGATCCCACGTTTATCTCGACCCGTATAACCACCTCAGGAGTCAATCTCACCCCTCAAGTCCGTTAGTAAGCAATTTATTCCATAAAACCAGCAGAGATAGGCAACCACTTACGATGTACCACCCCCCGCCAACACCACGTAGAAACATAAGTAACTCAGTTACTAAGTTATTTATATGGCCGATTGACTCTTTCCTTAACAAATCGTGCACCAGTAATTCATTTACTGCACGCGTGCGAACATCTCTCAGTTGGTTAAATTTTTTGGTGCGTGCAGTCCATACAGCTGGGAGACCGATACGGGGGTGGGGGTTACCGAGGGTGGAGGGGGATGGGGCGGGGGTGGGGTGGGGGGTGGGTGGGGATGGTTGTGAGGGGAGTGTTTTAGTTATTTTGCACCCTGGGTGCGGTTTAGCGCTGCCTATATATATATATATATATATATATAAAGTCATACAAAGCACGACTACGGCCCTTTTTTTCTCCAACAAAAACTGGATAAACTTTTGGATAAAAGTGGTATGCTTTTCAAACTGCTAAACGGTGTATTTCGTGCGAAAAACTTTCAATGTTCTAAAATATAAGATTAATCTATTTTTCAAGTTTGTAATAACTAAAACTCAATTAATCACACATTATTACCACCCGCTTTATATGAAATACTAAATATTTATCTTCATCTTTATCTCGAGGAGATTCAAACACTACCCACACCCTTCGTTCCGAAAAAACCAACCTAATATGTGATGTAACCTAAAACAACGAATCTTAAAATACTCTAAATATATCACGTCGTTGCTTAGGTTGTTTTTTAGGGGGGGCACGGAGGGAGTACATGGCTAGTGAGTTGAAAGTTAGGACATGATCATAATTGTCACCATTTGAAAACGGCGAGTATTTTGGCCGAGTTTAGTTACAAACATTTTCTTCAAACTTCTAATTTTTCTATCACATCAAAAATTTCCTACACACAAGCTTCTAATTTTTTCAGTCCCATCGTTTTAATTTCAATCAAAACTTTTAATTTTGAAGCGAAAACACACCCTTTATTCGATCATCCGAAATCCCTAATCCTTTCGTCCACTCTGCTTGCGCGACTCTCCTTCCGTAGTCCGTACCCTCCTCCCCCCTGCCTCGCCGGCGGCGACCGCACGTGCCCCCCTTCTCGCCGTCGCGCACCCACCCCCTCGCCGCCTGCCTCTCGCCCTCTCCTCGCGTGCGCGCCACCACCACCGGGGAGGCAGCCGGCGACCGCCGACCGACCGGAAAGGAACGGGACTCCGTCCGACGGCGCGCATGGTGTCCGCCGCGGCGGCGGCGTCGTCGCTCCGCTGCTTCCCTCCCTCCCTCGGGAACCGTGGCCCCGGGGCCGCGACCGCGCGGGGTGGCCTCGTCAGGCTCTCCTCGCGGCGGGCCCGGTCCACGGCCGGCGTGGCGGCGCCGTCGCGGGAGGCGGAGTCGGCCGCCTCGCTGGGCGACCTCACCCGCGTCGACTTCCCTATCCTTGACCAGGTACCCCCACTTGCCTATCAAGCTTTGTATATCATGTTATCTCTATCATCTGAAATGTTTGAAGTTATTCCTGATTATAGACCATTCTTGAAGTCGGTTCATGCCTATTTTACAGTGTTTTCCACTCAAAAGTATGTTGCAGTTGCATATTAAAGACCATCATGTGTTCTTTAGTGATGAAACTTCTCCCCTTTTACCATACTGGGTCTGGTAGTTCAGTACAGTACATGATTGCAGCCATTAGCATCTCTGTTACTATCTTGGGTCTCAATGTTGATACCGGCATTCAGAAATTGCTTATGGAGCGCTTCTTATTGAGAACCAATGTTCGATTTCCTAGTTGCCTTGTCAACTTCATGCCTCATTTTCTCTGAATGAAATGCCACATAAGTTGTTCTTGCTGCTTGCTAACAAAAAGGAAAACGATGTTGGTTAGTGGGTTGATGCTACTGTGTTGGAGAATGAATGCCTAGTTTGATTTAGGCTGTTTCTTGTAAACTTTCCTTATATGCGGATACTTATTTAAAAGTCTTCTTTGATTAGACCAATTATTTGAACTCATTTTTGGACAAATATGGGGCTTTATTTCATTGTAATTGTTCTGACTATTATCTAGTCTCTTGGTAATAATCACTGTGGAAAAATCAACATTGTTTACCTTTTTCATATGTTGGTCACTGCTCCATGTTGCAACTTTTAGTGTAATCTATAATTGGTTTTCTGTTGATCTGATTACTCGCTATTCCTTGTGCATGATGAGACACACTATTATTTTATTCGTTACCTATATGCTTTGCCTTGAATTGTTGTGGCTGCTGTGTGTTCTGTGACCTTAGGGGGTGCAATTAGTTTCTGTAGTTTTATTTTGTTGCAACCAATAACCTTTTGTTTTCTTACTTAGAGAGAGATGAGCTTTATATCATATTGTTGTCTCTGGTACGCTTACCACTGGGAGCGTGTGGGTTGATGCCAGACTCATGTACTTTGTAAATTGATTCAATTTTTGTTAGTTCTGGTGCACTTTTCATTATGAATGTGTGGGTTGCTACTAGATTGGTGTAATTTTTAAGCTGATTTACATTTGTATTAATTCAAGTCAATTCTTATTTATTCAGTGAAGCATGTGAAAGCTCCATGTTTTAATGATTGATTTTAAAGTAGCTGTTTGACATGGTTGTTGTAGTCAATGTAGCTTGAGGAATTGTAATGTTGACTTTTCTGTTGACATATTGGATTGTCATTCTTGTTACAAAAAAATATTAGCCTTGGAGTTGCCAGATAGTAATCTTGGCATTCAAGGTAGGAAAATTCCATTTTATCTGACAATTGAAACTTGCAGGAATTTGATGGTTCCAAATTAGTTTACTTCGACAATGGTGCAACTTCGCAGAAACCTTCTTGTGTAATGAAAACTTTGGATGAGTATTACCGGTTTTACAATTCGAATGTTCACCGTGGAATTCATGTTCTCAGGTAGTTTTTACATTTATCAGTTATGCCTTGTATGTGTTCAGTGTTTGTGCTTATATAAATCATGTGCCCCACTGATATGCTTGTTTCATTGGCATCAGTGCAAAGGCTACCGATGCATATGAGAGTGCAAGAACAAAAGTTGCAAATTTTGTCAATGCAGCTAATAGTAGAGAGATTGTTTTTACACGTAATGCTACTGAAGCTATCAATTTAGTAGCATATTCGTGGGGCATGTCCAACTTAAAACAAGGAGATGAGGTGAGTCCTCTATTTTTGACCAGCTGATTAATATGTGTTTTAGGCTGACTGTACCAGTTGTTGTAGTTTTATAGTGCATGTAATTGTACAAATTGTGTTTCTTCTAATATTAAGTACTTAAGTTTTTGCTTCAAGTGCTTAGTCAAAATCATTTTCCTTTTTTTAGTCTGGACTCTGGAATTACCAAATTCTTCATCTAATCAAATGCACCTGACCATTGTAGTTAACTCATCCGAATTTCACCAAGTGTCATTATTTGGTATATATCATCTGAAGTTTGTAGTCTTTGTTGTACCCTCCTGATAAGAACTGTCTTCTATTTTGTTGGCCAGATTGTTCTTACGATTGCAGAGCATCATAGCGCTATTGTTCCTTGGCAATTTGTTTCCCAGAAGACTGGTGCTACTTTAAAGTATGTTGGGCTAACCAAAGAAGGGGTTCCAGACATTGAGCAGTTGAAAGGTCTTCTGTCAAACAAGACGAAGATTGTTGTTGTTCATCATGTCTCAAATGTACTCGGTAAGTTGATGTTTTTTTAAAGAAAATATTGTTGAGGTTTTGAAACATCATATTGATCCTTAACTGTAATTGTGATTCCTTTTTTAATGAAACGATCATAGGGTTGGCTTTGATACTGGCATTGCCAAATTTTTGTAGGGTGGAGATGTAGTTGACGTGTTTGGTTTGATGCCAACACTGTATGGGCAATTGCTGAAATTTTAGTAGGGTAATGTTTAGATGAATTGTTTGGTTTGCTACCTTACCATAATTTTGGTATTGTACCAAACCAAACAAGCCATTAGATTTTGTCTTAGAGCTAAAACATGATTGTGGAAAAGACATGTTTTTTATGGCTAACGAAATAATGAAAATGGATAACAACAGAAGTTAGTGTTTGTCCAAAGATATTATAGTTAATGACAGAATATTTAAAACAAATGTTTATTATAACACCCCTAGGTATTGACATACCTAGAGAGCTATCATCATTTGACGGCACTGCAGGAAACAATAGGGGTTGAAGCTGAATTGGGAAGAACCATCTGCACAGGACCCCGCAAAAGAAGAATTATACCTCTGCCACTTATAGAATCTGGGTTCTGTTTGCATACCACAACCATGTTGCCAACCCTGTTGCACATGCAATCTCTCAAAAAAGATACACTATGCAGAATGGCAGTTCTTCCCACATTTGAAGCTAATGAAACCTTGCTCTATTAGTGCTAAGCGAAGAAATGAGATTCCGAAAGCATGGTTCTGAATAAGACTTAGCTCCTAACTCCTTGGGCCTGAAAGACTGTTGAGTGTGGTTTTGCTCATAGTCTCAAAGTTCCTGGATCGATGCGATCGAGGAACGTGGTATGCTTCTTGTGAGAGGTTTTTACAAGGTGGGGATGAAAATGTCCCGTGTTCCTGGAACATGGAAGATGTTCCTGGGTTGAGGAATGCTTCCTTCGACCCTGTTTTCTGTGACTTTGGTTTTTTGCTTGGACTTGTTGAATGGGGATCGCTGGTAATTCTTTTCTCCCTCCTGGTGAACTCTCTTCTGATCACTAGTCACTACTATTGCCACTGGCACTCCTAGTTCTCTTGTGCAGCAGTAAGTTGGATATCTCCAACTCCTAGTCCTCTAAAGAAACTCCTGCCCTTAATGTTCCACACTTCCCACATTAGGCACAGAGGACAATGCTGCTAAAGTTTCTGTCATGCTCATCCAGTCTTATTTTCTTCCCAGATATGATTCAGTTCATCATTAATCCTGTTCCCTCAAGAATCCGGGTGATACTTCCCTGAAGAACTAAAGAATAACCTTTCAAGTGATAGCATCATGCGCAGGGGTTCAGGCTTCACAAATCACTCTTATCATATGTTAGCCCGACCAGTTAGCTGGAAAGACAAAAAATAATCTTCTCCTCTAGTGTCGTCCTAGATCCTTCTCATCTTGTGTAGTGTAGCTAATCTGCAGCATTGTTTTTGTGGTATCCTGAGTTCCTGACTCCCTGACCTAAATTGAGTGAAAACTCCACCAAATGAAATATATAGACTAGACCTACAGCTTGACTGGACCATGTGACTTGATTTCATATGGATTTTTAATCCTAGATTTCAAAACAGCGTTTCATCCTATGGATCAGGAAATTAAATTCAAATTAGCAGCGAGCAAACTTGATTTCTACTTGAAATTGATCCATCTAGGGACTAACTAGAGATTACCCTTGCTGTGAGGAAAATCAAATTTAAATTGCCCCAATTATCTCATCAAGTGGCACAGGCCTAATTCTTCAGCAAGATCTCCTGCATCCAGTTTTCCTGGAGCTTCTGGTTCAGCCAGTGGTGCCGTTCAGATGATGGTAGCTCTCTTGGTTTGCAGATACCTAGGGCATTACATTTGCATTAGAGCCTGTATATGATAAAGAGTAGTTTCTTTGTCACGTAACGAGCTGAAATTAGGTTCATGGTAACGTTGAATTAGTCTGTTTCTTACTGTATCGTGAACTATGGTGTATGGTATTCTGGGAAATTTTCCCTGATTGAATCCATATCCAGTTCTCATTTCATGTGATGTCTGCCTAGACAGCACATTTGGTAACACGGATCTTCATCTTTTCCAGGTTCAATGCTTCCTATTGAGGATATTGTAACATGGTCAAACAGAATTGGTGCTAAAGTTCTTGTCGATGCTTGTCAAAGTGTTCCTCATATGCCTGTCGATGTTCAGAGGCTTGGTGCAGATTTTCTTGTTGCATCATCACACAAGGTTTTATTATCAATTCTTTCTTCTAAATAAGTTTGTAATCATTGAGAGTAGCGCAATAATTGACTTTGACAAGTTATGGGCTAAACTTCTCAGATGTGTGGCCCTACAGGCGTTGGATTCTTGCATGGAAAGTTTGACCTCTTATCATCCATGGAGCCTTTCTTAGGTAAGATACTGTAGGACACTAGAAATTTGCTCACTCTATTATCAGAAGTTAAGTTGGATAGTTAGCATCCATTGGTGAAGCATGGCCATGACTAAGAGGAAGTATTGTTTCCTGTTCTCGGGGAAGTATTGTTCTATAACTACCCTCGAAATTCTGATTTCCTTTCAGGTGGTGGTGAAATGATTGCAGATGTGTTCCAAGACAAATCCACATATGCTGAGCCTCCTTCTAGGTGAATCATATTGTGACTTCTTACTTTGATCGTTCTAGATTTCATCATCTATGTCATATCGTCTTAGGAAAGTTGGTGCACAATGTATATCAGTCTAGATCTTTCATGAACTATATCATAATCTTCTGGAGGAAAGTCAGTGCAGAACAATAAAATATCTAAAGTGATTAATAGTACAATGTAATACAGCAGAATCATTTGGTCATTTTGAATAATGGTTATCACTAATATTTCTCGGATCTCCCAAGCTGTTGTGTGGAAACAACTGCCACACTCTTCTTACTTTCCTAACAAAGATATGTCTTTCTTTCCTCTTCATTTTCTGATATAAAATTGATTTGTCCCATAAGACCAAGAATATGAAGATAACATGTTGCAGATTCCTAGACATGTGAACCATAATCATTTCACCAAAAACTTGATTGTGTTAGAAAGTTGATATGTTATAGATTTTATTACTAATTCACTATGTTAGAAAAGTATCTCCCTTGTCCACATTTCTTCCAAGATTGCCTCTGCTTTATATTATCTGTCAGTAAAATTGAAATGAATCCCTTTTGGAATTTCATGGGACTTCAAAATAATTGCTAATGGTGGCTGTACCTTTTTTCTTCATTTCATATCTGGGGATTCTAATTGTAGTTGTTCTGAAAAGATTTGAAGCTGGAACACCTGCGATTGGAGAAGCTATAGGATTGGGAACAGCAATTGATTATTTGTCACAAATTGGCATGCAGAAGATCCATGAGTATGAGGTCAGAATAAACTGTTTATGTTTTACCTCCTTGCATTGTTCTCAAATGTACTTTATTATCGTTTCAGAAAAACAAAAATATTGCTCTATGTCATCATACTGTGCTTATTCCGGTCTTTAGAAAGGTTTCAGCTATTTATAACATTCTCACAAGTGTTATGTTTTGCCATCCAGAATGAGTTGGCGACCTATCTCTATGAGAGCCTTATTGCTGTTCCAAATGTTCGGATCTACGGTCCAGCTCCATGCCAAACTGTTCACCGCGCCCCATTATGTTCTTTTAATGTTGAAAATGTTCATCCAACAGATATTGCCGAAATTCTTGACCTCCAGGTATGCATTCTGTCAACCACTAACCTCAGATGCAAATGCTAGTTTTGAGTTTTATGAGTACTAGATGAATAAGTGCGGCGTGACGCCGCGCCCGTTAATGTGTACATAATGTTAGTTGAAAGTAACTAAACAAGCTTTGCCAAATCATAAGACTTGAAATCTCTTACAAAACATAAGTTTATATCCAAGGCAGTCCTTCCATCCTGTAATCAAATCTGAGTTTAGAAAACAGTATTGGTCTATATACTATGCTACAAAGCATCGGTCCACGGAAAGACACGCATTAGACACGCATTTGAGATGACAAAGCCATAGAAGTCAATAAAATCCGCATGAATAATTGCCGATGAGTCAATGACTTACAACAGCCTCTCAAGGCCACATCATCACAATTACAGTCTTCCATTTGACATAAAGAAATCTGAATAATGCATCCCATATTTTTACAATTCTGCGGACAAAGACTGAGGTATTGAGGTAGGCATCTATTACCTTATATTCTTCTAGTCTCAAATTCCTTCGTATGTTTATACAAAATGCATTAATTTGCAAGTTAATTTCTTCAAAAAGAGAAATATTTAGGGCAACAAGAGAACTCAAGTCACTTCATCAGCTTGAGAGGATGGTTATTTGCACAAACAACTTGAGCTAGCCATCGACCTTAACATCCAGTTTAATGGTTTATAACCAATTATTTACTTTTTTTAAGGGAGGTTTCAACCCAGTCAGAAATACATATTAAAAAAATGAAAAGACATCAGCTAGTGATCAACCTAGAAAATTATATCAAACAGCACAGGAAGTCAAACAAAAGGAATAAGCCTAATTTCTTATATTGCAATGCTCTGCTTTCTGAAATTTCTCCTATGAACCAAAAAAAAAAGAAGCATGCTCTAAACAGCGATGCTATGATGGGAAAATAGATCATGCTCAGTATTTTCTGCTGCTTCCTGCTAGCCTCCTTTTTGCTGGTTGTTTCTTCCAGAGGGAACTGGGACATCAAATGGCAGCCAAAACAGCTGACCATGGAGCTGTCATCTCAAAGTGGCCATTTTCAGCTCCATGTACTTACCTTTGTTCTTCCAAGCTTGACTGAAGTAATAGTGGATGTCACCATCTGATTATATCACAAATACTGAAAAGTAACTTATGCAGAGATTTAGAAGTAGGTGCTTAACAGCATAGTCAATCCATGGACCTTGTATTAAACCTCTGTAATTCATGTAAAAGATAATTGAACCAAGAAACATAAACACAAAATTCATAAACCTAATCCTTATGTCTCAACACTCAAAAGCCCAAAGCAGCCACTTTGCATTGTACATCTGGAAATTATTTTATAATCAGAATAAGAACACAAAGAAGCATACTTCGATGCCAACATACTGAACACTGGAAATACATCCTAAGGAGCACAACCTGAGTATGTGTATTGATCAAAAGACATTGATAATGCTCAGCAGCTAAGTAGTGTAGCAAAGAAGAACATCCCAAATAACTGCAGAGTAGAACTCTGTAAGAGGTGAACAACAGAACAAAGTAATCGGTGGTGATACCTTTTCAATGGACCGTTGCTTTGAAATACAGATCTGATAGCATCATAAGAGCAACCGAGCAAGCCAGGAATAAAAATCTAAATAAGTGTTTTCACAGAGTTGTGCATTATTTTAAAATTAAAGTAAAAATTGAATACAATCACTCACTAAAAAAAAGAACATGCTGTGATTTGAGTAAGTAATAGCAAGGGTGCACAACCAAAATGCCCCCAGTGGAATCCGCAACCTCCTGGTGCAAGCGCCGGGAGTAGCGGCTGGTTGGCTGCACGAGACCAACCAAGCACACAGCCTTGCTGTCAGCTAAAAGAGGAGGCAGAGAAAGAGATGAGAAGTGATTGAAGACCTCAACTCACCGGAGATAAGAAGGATTGGCTGAGCCCAAATCCTTGCAGATCTAGCCCCGACGGTGGGCAAATCAATTGTTTACCAATGTGGACAGCCAGGCACCGTGTCCTTCACCTTCCCCTCCAAAGAACCAAATCACAATACAAAGATGACCGTAGCAGGACTCTTCTCGGTGGAGTCGAGGTTTGTGTCGAGGCATAAACGCTGGTGGCGCCATCGGTGGAGGCGGCCGCTGAGATGTCGGGGTTGAAGGAGGCCACTGGTCGTTTTCATCACAGTCGCCGTCATCGTCATCGTCGCAGCCACCGTCGCCGCTGTCGTCATCGTCGTTGCAGCCACCGTCGCCGTCGTCGCCGCAGCCACCGCCACCGTGGCGACTCGCTCCCGCCCGCCTAAACCCACCGCCGCCAGTCCCGAGGGCGGAGGCGGGCGGATCGGCGTGCTGCCGGCGTTCCCGCTCCCGCCAGGCCACTCCCAAGGATGGAGGCTGGTGGATTCGTGCGCCGTCATCTCGCAGGTGGGGGAGGATACTTTTGGGGGGCAGCGGAGTGGTCGAGGCAAGTGAAGTCGTCGCCGACGGCCGGCCCGGTGTCGGCGTTGGAGGAGGCCACTCCCGTTTTCGTCGTAGCCGCCGTCAGCATCGTTGTCGTCGTCGCAGCCACCATCGCCATTGTCGTTGTCACAGCTGCCGCCGCCGTGGCCGCTCGAACCTGCCCGCCTAAGCCCGCCGCCGTAGCTCCCGAGGGCGGAAGCGGGCAGATCCGCGCGCTGCCGTCGCTCCCGAGCACGGGAGGCGATGGATCCGCACGCCGCCGTCCTTCCCAGTCGCGCCTGGCCGCTCCAGAGGACATAGGCCACCGGATCCGCGCGCCGCCGTCTCTTCCGAGAACGGGGGGCGGCGGATCTGTACGCCGCCTTCCTTGCCCCTACACTCCCCCCTTTCCGACGACGCGGCGTACACAAGGACGGACGACGTCGGCAGCGGCGGGTGGAGGGCGGACGACGACGGAGGCGACTGGGGAGGGTGGACGGCAGCGGGGGGAGTTCCTGTTTTTATATGTCAGTTTTCTCCTCCCCTCCGCCTGAAGCCTCCGCCGCGACCACTGCCGACGCCGCGCCAGATCCGGAGGGGAGGGCCGCCGCCGCCAGCGCCACCCCCCTTATGGCGGAGCCACCGCCGCATCCACCCTCCGCGTCGCCTCCACCGGATCTAGGAGGAGGGAGGGGAGCCGCTGCTGGCTCCACCCTCTGCGCCGCCGCCGCCACAGCCCTCCGGCGGGAATCTACGCGCGAGACCGCTGGGAAGGGAGGGGAGGGGAGGAGAGGGAGAGAATGGGGGAGGGTTTCCGGATTGGGGGTTTAGCGTAGGACTTTTTGCCGAAAAGCCCCTATGTTTTTTATGTTTACAGCGCTACCCCTGGAAGCGGAATTTTCTCTTCTTCGCATTGTATTTTTCTGAAAGACAAGGGGTTATACGTAAGAAACAAAACGGGATGTCAGTCGGCGCGAGGACGTATGCGATATTCCGTGCAAATACGAGGAGTTTTTTACAAAAAGCCCAGCCCTCTCACCGGGAGCAGCCCCTCCACCTTAACCGGCACGCATGCACACCACCACAGCGCCCAAAATTTGATTAACCGGCGCACCGCTTATGGGCGGTTGCCCCCGCTGGCGCGAGGAGGAGGAGGGGTTAGCAGCGACGTGTAAAACAACGAGATAGCCCAAAAAAAATTCAAAAAAATGAGAAAAACGGTGGGGTTAGGGGAGTTATTGATTGATGATACGGTTACTGCTCGCATGCTAGCTCTGTAAATTTTTTTGGATTAATAAAGAAACACTTTTCTGATAACTTTCTAATTCACACCATATTCCTTTTAAGTATTTATGTTCTGTCTCATAGCTGTTTGTATTCAGCTGTACTTTACCTAGTTTCGACTGCAAACACAAAAGGGTTTAAAAATTTTACATCATGTATTATTAAGAAATTATGACTTCCAGCATCCAAAGCGTAAATATTTTCTTGTGAAAAATTCTTAAATGTTTCCATCTGCTTCAAGAAGGGTTATCTTCTCAATAGCCTTCCCTGAACAGCATGTTGTTTAGTAAAGTTATTTGTTATTGTGCCTTCTTCAATTTATTTTTCTAGCCCTTGCAATGTAATATTGATGAACTATTTGTTTCAGCATGGCGTGGCAATTCGGTCAGGCCATCATTGTGCACAGATATTGCATCGAACTCTTGGTATCAATGCAAGTGCTCGTGCTAGTCTTCACTTCTACAATACCAAAGAGGAGGTGGATGTCTTTGTCGATGCGCTGAAAGATACTATTGATTTCCTTACTTCTGAACACTAGTACCACGGTTCGATTAGTATACGGCATTCTCCCTTTTTACAAGTTTCAGGTTGACTTTATCTAGCCAAGGGGTCATACAATTACAAAATGAAACAACCAACCAAAACATGTGTATTAGATTGCCTACTTTGGCCTTTCTTGTAAATCAAGTCCCTTTTTCTCCCATCCCTGAAATTTTGCAGAAGCTGAATTTGTACAACAGAATAATTTAAGTGTTGCAGCAAGCTGTGAGAAAGCTCATGACCTTGAAGGTTTATTTGTAAATTATGCTGACCTGTATGTTCTCTTCGTTGAAAATCATAAACAAGGTTACACAAGCATAAACAAGTTTTTTTTTAACACGTGATGCCTTCTGTTTCCTGTTGGAATTTTTTGAACGACATTTACCTGTGAGGGGGCGACAGTAGTTTCCTGTTGGAATTAAGCTGTTTGCCTGTGCTATTCGTGCTTCAAATGGTACTTCAGTTTTTCTTATGGAGGGTCACCATATCATATTCAAGGCTGTTAAAATCGCAATCAGAAGTTCTCAACCATAGAATTGGATACATAAAAACATCATTGAATCGGATACATAAAAACCATAAAATCAGTGATTCTACCGATATAGAATTATAGAATGAGACACCTTAAATAGAGTTATAAAGTCATAAAATTATATAACAAAACTGAGATTTTAACCTTGATCATATTGGTTAATGCTAGTATTCCAAAGTAACAATCCGCTTGGCTCCGTTCAAGTTTGAAATGTACTCTCTCCGTTTCATATTACAAGTTCGGGTTTATAATGTACTCTATCCGTTTCATATCATAAGTCGTTTGACTTTTTTTTTCTGGTCAAAATAAACTTACTTAAGTTTTTTGACTTTTTTTTTCTGGTCAAAATAAACTTACGAACAAGTTTATAGAAAAATATAATAGTATTTTCAAAACAAATATGTTATCATAATATATTCAATGTTAGATTTAATAAAACTAATTTGATAGTTTAGATATTGCTAAATTTTTCTATAGTTAAATTTAACAAAATTTAACTAAGAAAAAAAGTCAAATGACTTATAATAGCATGAAACAGAGTAAGTAGCAATGAGGAGGTTTACTACCAACATTATTACTCCTGAGAATCCAGGCTTTTGTTGAGCCTTGAAATCACAGACTATTGTGCCTTGCTGAGATAAAGAAGGGTTCAAACCCCTTCCTTAGGAAGAGGTGTTTGATAGTTGAAGCGTAGGGCGATCAGATATTATCCCAAAGTGCAACGAAACAATAGCTGATGAAGGTGCACTATCTATCTTGAAACTTGAAAGCACCCAACTTCGTGGACACAAAGATCTCGAGTTCTCAACAGTGCATTGCGGATCAAAACAAACAAAACGATGAAAACAGCAATGCTACTTCAGGGAGAGACTCCTTGGAGTAGAAAAAGATTTCACAATAATAAATATCACTACTTGAGTAACGAGCACCCAAAGCTTGCACAATCCAACAACAATCCCAGGCACCAAAGTATTAAGATTCCACCCTCTGTTCCACAAACACCCCACCACCATGGTTAACCCGCTGGATCATACATAATAATACAGAATTCTCTAAAACTGGCCATAACACAATTAAGAGACTGAAAGGAGCTCAAGATTGAATAGGCTTGATCTTGAAGTGGAGATTGATGAGTGAAAACACGAAACATTTCAGATCCTGCACAGGGAAGCATTAGAATTTGTTAGAAATAAATTGGTCTGTATGCTTGCTATACTGTGCACAATTGAAACATTAATTCCCTCGTATGAAGTTAAACCAAATCAGGATGGCGTTAGAAGATCCAACACATTACATGCTACTAACTAGAAATCTAGAATGTGAACAGCTAGCAGTTCCTTAACTGTGGCATACAGTTTATAATATGAACTTACAGATGTAAACTAATGAACTCAAAAGAAGGATAGATGATATAACGGTATCTCACGAATCTCTGATATCATGCAATTCTGGTCATTTTTTCAGCTAGAGGGATGAAACTATCGCAGAAAATATGAATGCATCTCTTACTATAAAACTTCAGATGAAACCACCCAGTAGTTTCATCAAACAAAATTATTCCCTACAACAAGTGATGGAAGTCACAGAACATGCTACGCAAGTCAACTGAGTCTGTCTAGGGTGTAACCACTGGATCATCCTGCAAGATTTCCATGGAACCCACTGCATCCACAATTCCACTAATTTACAACAATAGAGCAGTGTGGTGCTGACATCTAAGTTATAGATAAGGCTATAGTTTATTAACCAATAAATTTGACCCATTGAAGGGCTTTTGCAGTTAATCTTAACCTGAATATTTCCGATATCTATTTTCATGATCTCAGGTAGCTATAATAAGACTTGAACTGTGTAGGTGTTCATCAATTAAGGAAGTCAGGACACTACAGACAAAAGGCTTCTCGAAGACAGCAGTCTTCATTAAAAATGACTAAGATTATCTTTTGCAATTATTAGGAGATTATTCCACCAGCATGCTTTGTAAAAATGATGAATTATTAATCAAATTATGTAGTTTAAAACTTCTAACAAAAATTAACAAAAACAGAAAAAAAAATGAAACAGTTCGCATCCACAACAAAAAATCTCTTAAGCTAAAATAGCCTGGGTTGTATGGTTGACAAGAAACATACTGACAATTAGGGGAACAGTTCACTCTTGTTTTTCCTTTCTTGCTCCATTTAAATCATTTTCGTTACAACTGTTGCTCGCTAAACAATCCAAAGCAGAGTGATAAAACTCAAACAAAAACAATGATGATAGATACTACTACCAAACTAGCATTGTGTGTTTTCAGTTGACATCTGAGTTTCTCATCATGTTGTTCGGTGTCTTTAAACAATAATCGCTTAAAGTGGATATGATCTGGTACGCATTATTATGATTCCTGAAGACACAAAACAGGTAGGCTTGTTACTTATGGAGTTGAGCTACAGTGACTGATGTCAGGAGGTTGGTAGAACCAGGTTGTCCTCTTCGTCAATGGGAAGGGATGGTCCCAATAACCCTCCCCCACCAACACCACATACACAAAAAAAAAAAATCCTGGAATCACTGATAAATATTCAACTTTAAAAGGGTAAATGCCAGGCAATATCTGCCTTTTTCCCCTAGCTTGGATGGATTGTTTTGAAAACACAAACAAATAAGATTCTTACAATGTTATCGATCATTCAAATGTGTTGCATCGCATTTTAGCAAGGCGACTCAGCGCAAGCACAGTTAGAGTTGATACTGCTATTCCTCTATAGATCATAACTGCACTTAAAGAACGTCACTCAGATGAAATAAGAGTTGAAAATTATCATATATGCATCCATTCAATGCTTAGTTAATTAAGCTTTGTACCAAATACTTCTTGTACTATTAACGGAACGAGTGAACAATCCCACTGGCATGAAGGGAGGTGATATTCACCTATTTAACATTCATACGCCAATCCTAAGTCACGCAGAGCACTGGAAAAGACAAGCAGGCAGGCAATGGAGCAACGAATGTGAGAGGCAAGGACCTGGACGAGGTAGTAGAAGATGCGGAGGCCCTCAGGGTCCTTGCTGGTCTGGACGTCGACGAGGGAGCCAATCTTGGAGGTGGTGAAGGAGATGTGCTCGTTGCCCATAACAATCTCGAGCTCCTGCCTCCCCACGCGGTCGGGCTCTGGCCAGTTGTTGTCGTCCTCCTTCATAATCTACACAACAAGCAAACCAAACCAAACCATCCATCATTGGAGAGGGAAATCGGGAATCGGGAATCGATCGATCCCCCAATGTTGGAGATAAACCCTAACCCTAGAAATCGACGGTGGGGGAGGGGTAAACCAACCTCGGACTCCTGGATGATCCTCCGGGCCTCGCGGAGGACGGAGGGGGAGACGAAGACCTCCTTGCGGATCATGGTGTCGTTCTTGTAGTTGGAGTTGTTGGCGTAGCGGAGCTTGCCGTCGGGGCGGAACTCGAACTCGAGGAACTCGTGCCCGAACTTCCCCTTGTGCCCCACGTAGTACCGCAGGTAGAACTCGCCGCCGCCGGGGACGTCCTCGCCGGCGGCGCCGCCCGTCGCCATCGGTCACCTCTCGTTCTCTCCCGCCGCCGCCGCCGCTTGGTCGCGAGATTTTGCAGCGCCGCCTCTGTTCGTGGTTGGCACGTCGTCGCCTCGCAACGCAAATAGAGGAGTTGGATGGATGGGAAGGTGGGCTCTCCTTTCCTTTCTCTTTTTTCGTTGCTTAGTTGGGCTGTAATCAAATTGGGCCCAAATGGGCCGGCAGTGACAGCCATACGAATATGATTTTTTTTTTTGTTTTCTCTCTTTCTTAAAGCGAAGCTGAATGAAAAACGAACCACCGCCTTCCACCAATGTCCGTCAAAAGTACCCCTACGCATTTTTGGGTCTAACATATTTCACGTGAAACCTGGTTTCCCCGACCTTCCCTCTCTCTCTTGAGAAACTTCAGTATATGTCGCTCGATTCGTAATACTTGGTTTGCCAATCAATTGTAACAGTTTCAGAATGTATCATCAAAGGACACGAATTGTTTCATTCTAATATTCTATGCAATTCCATCCATTCAATGTCTACTTTAGTACCGTGCAGTCGTTCATCCACATCAGACGGTGAATAACTCATTGGTCAGAATTACTGGCGTCGGTTGGCAGGTCCTCCTCGCATGCTGTTGATCAGCGAGGTCCTCTAGGCATGCCATCGAGAGCTGTTGCTAGTCACCGAGGTTCTCTCGATGGGCACATTCAGCCGCCATCAATGAGCTACTCATTGTGCACGGTGTCAGCCGGCAAGGTGCTTCCCACACACAACGCTTCTGGCCACCAGGGTTCGCCCAGCGCGCACATCTGGCCACCGTTAAGCACTGTCGACCAACAAGATCCTCTTGGCGTGCATGCGGCTGACATCGACGAGTTATTCCCTATCCTAATGTTGGTGAATATATGATGAGGTAGCACGGATGGACGGACTGCTGGACGTAGCTTCGGATGGATGGAGTGGTACGGAATGAAATAATCCACGTTTTCGTTGGCGAATTCTGAAATCTTACGATTTGAGTGGCAAATTCTAAAAGTATTGTGAATCAAGTGGCATATATTGAAATTTCTTCTCTTTCTTCTCTCTTTAACTTAGATGTCATGATAGTTTTTTTTTTGTTTCCTAAGTAGCAGTATGATTAATTCTATGAGAACCATCATACAACACCGGGGCTACCTTATGGTTTATTTGGTTCACGCCTATGGGTATGAGTTATGGCCATATATATTTTGTTGGATGTGACAATTCAATTTTTTATTTGGTTTTGTAACACTTGGATGACATATTTGGCAGCCCTCTATATAGTAGATGATCCCCCCCCTTCATCACTTCCTATGTATATCCACGTAGGTTCTTATAGGAATTATGATGAATTGACCATATTGATAGTTAAAAAAAGGTAATGAAAATTTATATAAGGTATATAACATCACCCAAAATAGCATAAGGCCGGCTTAAAAGGTATTTATTCCCTCCCTCCACCCCATAAAAGGTATGCGTTGTATTACGGGATGGATTTTTTTTTCCAAAATGGGCATGTATCTTTGTTCCATTCCAAATTCTCCAAACTGTAAGAGGACCAACCCCAGAGAGTACCAAATTAAACAACCAGGAAAAACATTTAGTTGATCGCCTTAGCAAACCACACGTATTTTTATATAATCACCTTAGTAGATACGCGGAGAGATTCTAGTTCAAATCTAGCATGAGAAGTCAATTGGAAACTTATTAGGATCATGTTATCCAGGACTGTGATGTTCATTTTTATTGAAGATGAAGTTAGGGTAGAAAAAAACATTAGCAAATAATTAATTGAATTTTAATTATTATAAATTTTAAAAAAATGTTTATCTGATATTTTAAATCAATTTTAAAGTTTTCATAGAAAAAATACCGTTTAATAGCTTCATTGTAAGAAGGGGGCCTACTATTAGATGCGAATGGACAGTGCCGTAGCACATTTACAATTTTTTTTTGATAGTAGCACATTTACAATTTTACTACACATGAGCTAAGGACAAGTTGGTTCTCAATCTAAGCGGACAGACACACTAGGATTTGGATCGCAGACGACGTGGCTGCGGCCGGAACACACTATATATGAACTGTGGGCAAACAGGCCCCACGATCGGTCTGGTGCGCGGATGAATCGTTGCATGCGCACGCACGCACGCACGGGCGGGGCTAGTGGTTCGCACAAATGGGCTCACACAGCCCCGGCCCCTCGTCGAGGGCAGTATGTACGGGGGAGGAGAGGAAAGCGTGCCGAGTGCCGGCTGTCTGTTGGCTGTACCAGTGTAGTACCACCCGATGAGATGAGCCCCCACAGGGTACGCGGTCTGTGCGTGTACCGGAGTACCACGGGAGCGCACGCACGTGGATCCGTCCGAAAGCGGCAGAGAGAGAGACGCGGCCGCGACAGCGACGGATGGAAAAGCCCACACACCAACCCCACCACCTCTCTCCACGAGTACACGCACACGCACACGCACACGCACACGCACACGCACACGCACGCCGTGGCAGCCGCGCGCGCGGATCCCCAGGCGCCCGCGCTGCTGTGCCGCATACAGTGGCGCTGGATCGATTGGACGGACGGGGTGCTGCCGCTCCGGCTCCGCTAGGTGCTGCGTGCGTGCGTGCGTGCGTGTGTCGACGCCTCTCGCCTCGACGGTGCGATTGTTAATCAGGCGGGCATCATTGCTTTGCCGGCCGCCTGCAGGCTGCAGCGTGCGGCCTCCCCGGCTTACCCGGTGCCGCGCTATACCTAGGGTGTAAAGCGGAGCGAATGCATGCGCGATAAAAGCTTTTGCGGTCGATCCAGAGAGAAACCTCCATCCTTTTTTTCCTTTCTGTTCTCTCTCTCACTCCATCGCGCCGCAGATGCACGCACACGCGCGCGAGCGGCGTGAGCGCGCGGCCGCTGGGCTGGTTTGATCCGTGCAGGAGGGGGGCGGGTTCACAATTTCACATCCTCTACTTAGTGACAGAGTTAGGATAAAATTATAGCAGGGATAAATCAAAATGTCCAAGAGCAACTAAGAGAGATTTAGGGTTGGGTTAGAATTTTTTTTTTTGGCCTTCTTAGCCTTTTAAGACTTCTAACAATCTCAAACAAAGTATATATTAGCCCCTCATCTATAAATATATGGATTAGATTTACCATTTAGAGAGACATTATGAGGGCTCTAATGGTTTATTAGGGGGTAGAGGGTCTAAAGACCCCCCGCCCTCATGCTATCTCCGCTCCTGCCTCTACCATAATTGTACAGTCACTAATACGTGAGATGATTGTAATAGTAGTGATATTATGTTATAGGATTTTTATCCGGCAAGTAGAGATGGTTCAGACGAGTATATGAACGACTGAGAGCACTGGATGATAAAAAAAATTTAACAGGGGATTGAATAAACTAGATAAAGCCTTAAATGTCCTTTCTCATAAATCTATGGCAGAAAATTTGAGGGGGGTCAATGAAGATTCACATAGTTTCATTGTCGGAAGTGCGCGTTTGAGGTGCCCCTTGAATAGTTTCATTGTTGTAGCTTAACTTGAATTGAAATTCAATGCGACCTTGTATATAGAAAGACCGGTCAGTTGCATCAAGAGAAGGTGCGTGATCTTAATAATTACTCATTCCTTCTATAAAAGTTACACATATTACTATTATCACCAAGACAATAAGAAATTAGCTCATCTTGCATGTAACAAAAATCAACAATCACCGAGTGTATGCACACATGCAGCCAATGACTATTTAGATGATTCCTCGGATTTCAATTAAACATTTAATTTATCTCTTCATTTAAATCTTGATACATAAAAAGTAAAAATAGGAACAATTTATTTAAAAAAACTAAATATGAAATAGTTCTAACTCTCGTGGATTGGAGGCACGTGTGCAAGAGCGAGCCCTCGTCCACTGGCGTGGGACCTTGACAGTGCATGCATGCATACAAATTGAATGGGATGCGTATGAGAGGAGATGAAATTGCATGCATGCAATTTGGATTAAAAAAGAAGGGCAATTGCTTATTTGACCCTGTTTTATAGCCTAACTACTAATTTGACCCTACTTTTTTCAGATTGCTTATTTGACCCTCTTTTTCAACAATGAACCCTCCGTCTAACCCTGTTTGGGTACACCGTTAAGGTTAGATTTTAAAAAGAATTAAGACATATAATCAATATTCGTAATGCCCAAAATGCCCTCACTACACTTATCCACACTAACCCTATCCACACATTTCTCTCTTTCTCCCCCGTGCCGGTAACTTGCGGCGGCGGCGCTCCGAGTTGCGGCGGTGGTGCAGGTGCTGGCTCGTCGACTCGTGGAGGTAGGGTGCGGCGACGACACCCTCACTCGTGAAGGGAAGGAGTGGAGGCGACGGGAAGACGACGGAAGATGGCGGCGGCGGCGGCCATCGGCTAGCAGAGGAAGGGAGCGGCGACGGCACTGCCGAGCTTCTGCAGTGGTGGCTGCACCGAGCCTCTGTGACGGCGGCGGTGGATCCATTGCGGCAGCAGCAGAGGAGAATGGGGGAGGTCCCCCAACAGAGATGGGGTCGGCGAGATCCAGCGACCGCGCCGCCACCTCGCCGCACCGGCCGCCATCCCACACCATGCTACAGGAGGAGAATGGAAGGGGGGAGCTCCCCCGGGAGAGAGGAGGCCAGCGAGATTCAGGCCTCTTCCACCATCACCACCGCCGCCACCTCGTCACGCCAGCCTCCGCGCCGGCCACCATCTCACCCACGCTACTGCGAGGAGAGGAAGGCGAGAGGGGCGAGCCTCCTCCAGCCGTCAGTTGCCGCGCTGACCACACCGGCCGACCTTCTCAACCGCCCGCGCCCGAGTCGGGCGGCCTTCTCCATCGCCGCACCGCCACCTGGCCCGTGCCAGCCAGACTTCTACATCACCGTGCCACCCTGGAGGAGTGAAGGGGAAGGGCCCTAGGTCAGGAGAGGACCGCCGCGCCATCCTTCTCTGTTGACCGCCACCGCTACTCCGTCGCCATCGCAGCGCAAAGGGAGAGAAGGGGTGAGAGACAGAGATGGATGGATGGCGTTGTGTGGGATTGAAGTCAATTTTGTCAAAATTATATTAAATTGAAGTCAAATTTGTCAAATTTATGATAAACCT